GAAGATCGACGACCGAGATCACTTTGTTTTATTTTAGTTTATTAAGTGTATTTTGTTTTAATTTTGCAATTTCTCTTTTTTACCCTCTTGTCTTATGTAAGCCCAAGGGGAAAATGTGTCTTTTAATTTCTTTTAAGGCCTATATATAGAAGCCCCTTCTCTTGTATTAGGTATGATGGAATTATAATAAAAAAATTTGTGTTTTGCACTTGTGTTCTTTGGGAAGAACGTTAGTGAAATCCCTATGGGAGGGAGTCGGAGTTTCCACCAGCCACAGAATGGGTTCAGACTCGTGGCTTGAAGTCCCTTGGAGGAGGGCAACGTATCACACGTCAGTCTTCGGAAGAGTCCAAGGCTCGCGGTTTTATCTTTTATCTTTTGTTTTTGCTTTTGTTCCTTTTTGTTGTTCCTAGTCGTCATCTTCATCCTCTCCCTACTTCCACCATCACGTCGTCTCCATCTCCACCTTGCCGCCGGTCCCTTACCCTCCCTATTCAAACCGCCGGCCACACCCTCTCCCATTCCCTATTGCCTAATTTGGATAATTCCTAATTTTGGATTGCCATAATTTAGTTGGTCTTTGAATACAAATTTCTCCAAATTTGAAATTCAAATTCTTTCATAAATTATAAAATCTAGTTTAGGAAAGTTTTCAAATTTTCCCTCCATTGGATTTTGAATTAATTAGGATGACTTAATTCATTCTAAATCCAACTCCCAAAATTAAGGAAGCATTAAAGCCTCCTTAATTCCCTCCATGAATTTTGAATTTCAAAATTCAAACATCTCTTAATTACCTTCCTAAAATAACTTATATCAATTTGGAAAGTGTATTTATTTGAAATCAATTCTCCATTTGAATTTCAAATACTATCATCTTTGATAATCCTTAATTAGGAAGCCTCCCACAATTTCATCTTGTATTCAATTCCTTCCTATTTTATACATCTTAATTTGGTAACGAATTTGAATTCAAAATTCAAATTAATTTGAATTTGAATTTGTTTCCTAAATTAGGATTTGAATCATTTGATTTAAATTAGTTGGATTTGATTTCAATTAATCTTCCTCAATTTCGGTTTTCAATCAAGGCCCACTTTAATTCTCTTTCCATAAACCCTCTTCTCTCTCTACCCGCCATCCCCTCTCTCCTATCTCCTCTCTCTACTTAATTATTGCTTCTCCATTAAGGCCCCAAATCTCTCTCCTATTTTAATTAATTTCTTCCTAAAAAAAAAGAATTCCATTCAAGGAATTAATTAAGTACCCCTCCCCTCCCTTTTCCATTTAGTTTGAAATTCAAATTTCAAATAACCCCTCCCCCCATATCCGTTCTACATCAGCTTCTCTCTCTAATTGCCACCTCACCACCACTTAAATATCTCTTTAATGCCTCCTCTCACATAGTTAATTCCATATTTCATCAATTTTAATTTCAGATTTCAAAAATCTGAAATTTGAAATGGATTCTCTCCCTCCCCCATAGTTTCCTATTCTGTGGTATTTTACAGCATGCTGTCCCGGAATTCCAGAGAGGGCAACCTGCTGTATTGCAATTTTCAACAAGGAGATTTGATGCCTGGGTTGCTGGAACCACCCCACTCGCTGTCCAGGTTTTCTAGGTCTTAACAGACTGCTGTCCTAGCCCACCAGCTGGCTGTTTGGAGCTTCCTACAGCAGCCCATCACCGTCCCAGCCACTCCGGGAGCAACCATCAAAGGCTAGACAGCTGGGAATCGTTCTCCCATGTTGAAGACTTGCTGCCCAAGAATTTGATCGTGGATTGTGGCTGTCCAAGTCACCCAAGAAGCTGTCAAACACCTCCTACTTCCGATCCAACCATCAAAGCATCACCGGAACGTTGTATGACTTCATTCCTTGGGTGAAACTCTTTCCCTAACGCTCTTATATTCCTAGTTTACTTTTCGTTTATGGTTATTAATGGATTCCTGAAGATCATATCAATTATTCGCCACTAGAACCTAGTAATAGGAAGAGTTGTGTGAGGGATCTTTCATAGACTAATCTTATTGTTAGTATTGGAATCTATTGTTGGAACTATCCATGTATGCAATGTTGGATTAAGCTGGCTATCTTTTGAACTTAACTTCTATGCATGTGAGTTAACCTAAGCTAGGTACCACTTAATATTTATCTTATCGTACAATTCCGCATTAAATCTTACTTATTATTGCCTCTAAATCTAAACTTGCAAACTTCTTTAAGCAAATCATTTTCGCATGGATTGTTTTACATTAGTGAGCCTTGCTGTTTAAGAAGCCAAGGGAATCAGTTGTCCCTTATGTTGATTGGAAGAGTGGGAAGGGCTGGATCACGTGTGGAGTTGCCGTAATGGGTTAGATGTTGGGTTAGCTGAAGGCTTACTTGAGGCGTGGAGATCAGCTGGGATGGGAGAAAAAGCCAATAGCTGTTGCTATGTTTGCTCCACAGAGAGGTAGGAGCTGTTAAGGAGATCTGTTGTAGGAGGGAGCTTTCATGGGCAGGTGTTGGTTTAGGTGGAGCAGCAGTGTTTGTATGAAGGGGAAGAGCTGAGTTTTGTTAGAAAAGGCAGAAGTAGAGGGGCTGTTATGGTGTTTTGGAGTGGTTTTGCTGAAGAGAAAAAGGGAGAATGGGATGGAAGGTGAAGGTGTTGCTGGCAGTGGGAAGCTTCACGTGGAGAGCTGCAGGTACCAAGGAAATGGGAGTAGGGGCTTGTGTGAGTGAATAGAGAGATAAGAGGGATTAGTTAAGAGAACATGATAAGCCAGTTTATTTTTTATTTCCACTTGCCTGACAAAAACAGGTGGCTGCTGCAGGCATGGAGCAGAACTTTGACAGGCAGGTGCAGTTTTGATGGATTTGACAGAGATTTTTGGCAGGGATATGGTTTGCTGGTACAGCAGGATTTGAGCAGGATAAGGGCAGATTTTGGGGGCGGGTACAACATGATTTGAGCAGGATACTAGCAGGTTTTGGGCGATGTGGCAGCTGCTACCTTTTGAGGGATTTGATAAGGATTTAGGTGACATGGAAGCCAGTTGCATTGGATTTGACATGTATACAAAGGTCAACAGGGATTTGGGGTTTTGGCCAGTGGCTATGGGGGAGGAGGAGGACCTTTGGGCTGGCGGCTAGGGGAGGGGTTGTGGTGGAGCTTTGGTCGGCGACTATCAAGAATTTTGGGGGATTTGGCCGGTGGCTATGGGTAATGGGGGAGAGGGAGGAGATTTAGAGAAAGAAAAGTGACCACGAGCTCGGACACTTCCTGCGGCTGGTGGGTGTTGCTTACCCTCACCTAGGGGCTTCTCCTCTCTCTAAAACTCTCAACACTCAAAAGGAATTAGAAGGCTGAAATTTCATTAAGCAATCTTCATAAAAAAACATACAATAGTTAGGCCCTCATATATAGGCGTCAAAGCAACAAAAGACTCAGAGACTAAAATGCCCTTTGGGCTATAACACAAACTAATCCCTCACAGGGGTACAATGGTAAAGACTAAAGTATAAACAAAAATAATACATAAAATTCATCATAAATAAAGACTCATAATTGTAGCCGTTGATCTACGATTCCTCCGGTGATAGACATGCCGGAATCTCCTGCTGATGTCCTCATCACTATCATTTTTGCTGAAGTATATGTTTATGCTTAGAAGACTTTGAAAAACAGGTGCTGTCGCATGGAAAACTACCTTTTATTGAGAGCTTTAGTTATTAACAAGACAAAATGCAAGCATGAATACCTGAGTTCAATTTAACCATTTGTTAAAAAAAACTATTAATATTAGACGATACTGATAAAATTAGGGGAGTAAATTGTGAAGTTGTAAAGTGAGATGATTTGGACAAGTATGAAGGGATTTATTGTTAATTTGATATTGATTCATCCTTTTTTGTGCTATAAGCATGTTGAATTGTTTTACTTGTTCATGCTTAATAATGTTTTACTACATTGTTCCTTTATTAAGGCAACTCGCTGCCTGACTGGTCAAGAATGAAAATAATAATGACAGTGAGGTGCTGAGGCTAGACTCTTTGTTGGGGCTGATCTTTCGCACTGAAATTTATCTACAAGTTGGATATGCTAGATTTATTTTTTTGGATTGTGTAGGAACTTTGTCTGTTGTTGGACGATTATTGGGAACGCATGAACTTAAAGGTTCCTATCTATTTTTCAGCCGGTAGGTGGGATATGCACAAGTATTTCTATGTTTTTAATGGCAATTTAAAGATGTTGCTTTTGCTAGTATAATGCATATTCTTTGCTTAATAAATTCTTTTGGATATGTGATTTGTTTTTGAAAATCAATTACTTTTCTGGTAATTTCATCAGATATTTTTGTATATGCTCATATGCATGTGATATTATTGAATAACTTGCATATGGCTTAGGATAAAACTTGTACTTTATGTCGCAATGCACAGACATTGTGACTTCTACCATTGCATAGCATCTAAAAACGCCTCAATACACATGCAGTTATTGAGCCACCAAATACAAGAAAATTTTAATTTTTACAACCACTCATCGTAGAAGAGATCTAATCAAATATGTTGACTAAATACTAATGGACAACATGTAAAGGGTGGTACTAAACAGTGGCAAAACTAAAAAACACAACGCACCAGGTTAAGTTAATGTGTACATAAGGAACTCCATAATTTACAACCTCATTACTACTAGTAATGAGGTGGGTATTTGTAATTCTGAACAATAATAATAACAGACTAAGACATCAGTCTATAACGCGATTAGTTTTTAATGTGTGAACTATCTGATGAATCTACATAAAATAATGCGACAACTGCAATGAGGTTGTTATCTCACAACTGAAATAGTTTTGTCAGACCTTTTAATTTCACCTGGCGCATAGACATGTTTGTCTATGTTAATGAGCAACATAAAAAAAGGCCTAAAATAGTCCCTTGATTATTAGTAAGTGCTCAATTTAGTTTCAGAGTTTTGTATTGTCCCAATTTAGTCCATTGACTATTAAAAATTGATTCAATTTGGTCTCTTTGTTAGAGATATGTCAAATTTAATGGAATATTTTGTAGATCTCCCATTTTCCATAATGTGAGGACATTTAAGTAAAATATTAAATTTCACTTTTCATTAGCATACTTTTTTTTGTAACAAGAGTTGGAGTTTTATGGCCAATGATACAATTTTTATAATATGAATTTTGGAGTATTGTAATTAATGACTATTTTTGTAACAAGGATTTGAAATTTTGTATAATCTTTTATTTACATTTTGCTTAAAAAATAATATGTTTTTATGAATTATTCACCCTTATTATTTAGTAGGTGTTACACCGGCTCACAGAGACGGTTCTCCACTATAGGAGGCAGAACAAGCCGCCTCCTTTGGCTGTTCCGCCAATGTTGATGGGGCCCGCCCCATCTAATGATTTTTGAAAAATTGAATAGAGGGGGAGGGGCTTGGGTTTAGAAGGGAAATTGTATTAGGAAGGTTTGGGTATTAAAGTGCATGAGGGAATTATGGATGTTTCATGTTTTGATTGATTGAAATTAGGGTTTCTTGGAGGCTTGTGCTCTAGACAACCTTGTCTAGAGATTTGGGAGAGACGATCCTCCTCTCGAATTGAGGATCTCTTGTATCTTGCTATTTTATTCATCGTTTAGTGTAATCCAAGTTTCTTCTTGAGTTTTCTCTCTGTTTTTCTTGTGATTTTGCTGTTTTTCTGCTGTGGATAGCAGATTGGCTGCTGTTTGCTCTTCGTTTTGTGTTAGGATTGCTTGAGAACTCAAGTATAACCTTAGGGTTACTTGCGAACTCAAGTATTTCCTATCAAATTGGTATCAGAGCATCATTTTTGCGACCGTTGGCGGCTGAAATACTGAAATTTCAGCGGGATTTTCGTTTCCAGAAAAAGATCTTTGTGATTCTTGGGAAGAACAATGGCCGGGAAGAAGGTAGAAGTCTTGGAAAGGCGAAATCGGACAATTGAAATCCGATTTGGAGGGAAGATTTTTCAATTTTCAAAATCAAATCACCTCCAACAATAAAAGGTTGGAGGGGAAGTTCACCGTGATGAATGAAATGATGAAGAAATTACTTGAAATGAAGACCAATCCTGCGACATCGGAAGTACGAGGACCACCGACGGCCATGGCATGGGAGGAAATTCGAACCCGTTACGGGGGAGGAGGAATTCGGAGGTGGAGATTCTGGAGGAGGAGAATGACATGCCCCCTCTAGAACCGCTTTCTAGAGAAGAGATGAGTAGGGGATACGACCAACGGGAGGCTGATTTTGTCGGAAGGAGGGAAGAATTCAATCTCCGAGGTGCTGAATTTGAAAGAATCCAGAGCCGAGGTGCTGATTTTGAAGAGGGAAGGGAGGAATTTCATCGCCGAGGTACTAAATACGAAAGAATTCAGCTCGAGGGGCTATTTTTGAAGGAAGAAGGGAGGAACATCATCATCGAGGTGCTGAATTTGAAGGAATTCAGCATCGAGGTGATGATTTTGAAGGGAGAAAAGGAGAGTATGAAGAGGGATTTGAGTATAATCGTTGGAGGGATGATCGGAACACTTGGGAAACTCTTCCCCTTCGAGGAATGGGTGGTTATGGAGGATACCGGGGAAATGGAGGAGACTCACGGGTGAGGAAGCTGAAGATGCCCGTCTTTGAGGGTGAAGACGGCCATGGCTGGATCTACAAGGTGGAGCGTTACTTTGCTGTCAACGGGTTGACAGAGGAGGAGAAGCTGACGGCTGCGAGATTGTGCTTGGAAGGAAAAGCTTTGGCATGGTACCAGTGGCGTGACAGGAGGGAGCCTATCCGGAGCTGGAGAGAATTCAAAGATTGCTTATTAGCATTTTTGAGCCGATGGGGGAGGAGACTTCTATGAGCAATTCTTTGCCTTGACTCAGGAAGGGACTGTGGCGGATTACTGTGATAAATTTGAGTACCTGGCTAGCAAATTGGATCACATCTCAGAGTCAGTCCTAGAAGGGAACTTCATAAAGGGGCTGAAACCTGAGATACGGGCAGCAGTTAGGGTGCTGGAGCCGAGGGACCTAGGAAAGGCTATGGAGCTGGCGCAGTTGGTGGAGGATAAAAAGAAATCAGAGAGGGGAGCTAAAGGGAACTATTCGGGGGGGGGGGTCATACAGGATGACCACCACTTTTTTACCATCAAGAGGGGCAGCGCCAGAGAATCTGAAGGAAGCACCAAAGGAGAAAGCTGGGGGAGGAAATGGGGGACATTTCAAAAAGCTAACAGAAAAAGAGATGCAGGATAAGAGGGTAAGAGGGTTGTGCTTCAGATGTGATGAGAAATACATGCCGGGGCATAGATGCAAGGACCAAACTCTTTAGGTTCTCCTTGTCTGCGAAGATGAGGAAGACGAGGAATGAGGTGGGAGCAGATCTGGAGAGGAGGAGAAACTGCATCTGGATGTGGCAGAAGTCTCTCTTAACTCCTTAGTGGGATTCACTTCGAGTCACACTATGAAGGTGAAATGAGAGATAGCTGACTGTGAATTTGTGGTATTGATCGATAGTGGGGCAACCCACAATTTCATTTCCACCAAGATGGTGGAGCTGCTGGGGTTGGAGTTAGCAGATACAGGAGGCTATGACTGTGGATTTCCATGCTTGTGATGTTTGAGTTCTTGTGAAAATTTATTGTCATGTCTGTTTGTATTTCCCCTTTCGTACCTATAAATATGAGGGGCTTGTTATGTTTTAAGTTAGTAAATGTTATGTGAATGATTTTTGGAAATGTAAACCTGCGGGTTTCGTTGGAAAAGCTTGCGAGCTTTGTCCACCTTTCTCATCCCCTCCGGAAATCTTGCGAGCTCTTTCCAACCTTTCGTCTCGGCTTCTAACCTCTTTCGTCTCTCCGCAAGTGTCACTCCATCTGTATCGTTCTTCTCAAAGTGAAGTAAGTTTAGGGTGTCTTGTTTGAGTCAAGTTTGTAAGTGTCCAAGTTGTAATAGTTTTTATAAAATGATATTATTTGTGTCTTTATTTGTGTTATTTGTCTCTTATATTACCTAGTAGAGTTTTCTTTTCTCAAGCAAAAATTAGTGTTGATGTTTATTTTCGTGTCAACCCGACCCCGATCGAGCCCGACTAGGCTCGATCGTGCTCGATCGACCCAATTGACCGTCGTCGAGGCAAAATCGGCTCAAATTGGACCCCGATTTGATTAAATTAAATTTATTTTAGTTAAATTCAATCGAATTTAATTTAATTAAAATCAAATTAATTTAAATCAAACCCCGTCGAGCGTCGTCGAGCTCAATTCGACACAATTCGGCGTCGATTCGAGCTCAATTTCACAAAATTGACCCGATCGGACCCAAATCGACCTAAGTCAGGTTTGATTCGAACTCAATTTCGGCCTTAATTTGTTAATTTAGGCTGAGTTTGACTATCAAAACATCTCTTTGAGATCTAGGGCTGAGATTGAGCTCCAAATCCCACCCAATTTCAAATCAATTGAGCAGCAAATCTACTCAAGTGGATTTGCTCTCGTTTCTCGCAACGAGGCAGATAGATGGGACGGAACGAGAGTCTCGTTCGGCTGGGCTGGCATCCCTAAGTAAACGAAAAGAGTGGGAAGCCTGATTCGGCTCCCCGTGGGGTCTCGACACACACAGAGCGAGAGAGAGAACGAGAGAGGCGAAACCCCCTCTCACGCGCGACTCCACCAGGCGAAACGAGAGCCCCTCGTGTGCGACTCTACCGTGCGAAGCCGATCCCCCTCTGTCGCCCTTCTTCCTGCGAACCTGAGCCTTACGTGCGACTCTTCTAGTGGAAAGGAGAATGGAGGCTTAGGGTCTTGAGATCTTTTCTCATTCCAAAGAAAGTTAAGACCTCCACCCACTTTCTTTCTCAAAAAATCAGCACAGTTAGTTGCTTCTCCACCTTCCTTCTTCAAGTCCGGCGAGTTCGTAGTGGTCAAGAAAGCTGTTGGAGACTTCCAAACAGCAAAGGAAGGCTTCCACCTCTTCCTTTTTCAACTTCGACGAGTTCGCAACAAGTCGGAAGCTGTTGGAGACTCCCAAACAGCAAAACAAGGTTCCTAAACCTCCCAAACAGCGATTTGGGGCCTTCAAAGCGCCTTGGACAGCAGCGGCAAGTTCCGGAGCAGCTTGGACAGCGACTTTGGAGCTTGAATCGGAGCTTGGAGCGACTTTG